GGCAGGCACGAAGTGACTGCTGCCAGTCGTTATGGAAGTGTCGGTTGTGTTCGGGTGTAAAGCAAAAATCATTAAACTCAATCTCACCACAGTTTGTTGAGATTTGCAGCTGGTGAGTTTTGTTGGCTTGATATTCCGAGCTGCGATATCACAGCTTGCAAAATCAACCGCAGCTGTATGCTTGTTTATTTTTGTGTATGAAAATCAGGCGTGATCTTGGGCATTGGTGAGATTTGATTTTTTGATATATTCCCAACACTGGCTGCTGCAAATCAACTGATAACGCATACATTTGTTTTCTGTACACAACAGGGTTGCTATGATTGGCGATGCACAAGGTGTACGTCACTCCGCACACCAGTCTTGGCTCACCTTTTTTGTCAGTATGCCACAAATGTGCCGCAGGCGTGCCGATTGTACCGGTCATAGAGCAAGCTGCGATTGTTTGCAAAATATCCATCGCGGCAACCCGGTATTTCTGACACCTTGAATGTTTTTGTTTGAAATCGCAAGGATAAATCGGATTAAGGATGCCGCGGGAAGTGACGGGTGTGTGAAATTGGGGTGTTTTGTGTTCATAGGATTAAAAAAGTCCTGTGTTTTAGGGTTTTATAATGCCTTCAAAGGCAGACCAGAAACCTAGCCTTTCGTGATGTGAAAAGCAAAGGTCTATCAGCGGCTGAAAAGAGTTGGAACTGGTGAGGAACATTTGCATATTAAACATATTAATTCAGCGGTCTGATTAACTGCCTTTTTTCTCTTCAGCATACTCTAGAACCTACATTTTGTATTTAGATCTATAAGTGAACTGCTGGTCTGAGTTTCTCAGTCAGTCAAACAACACGTCAGCCATATGGCTAAAAATCTTTATAATAAAGAAAAAAAAGTCAAACAGCACGTTATGTTGTGAATAACTTCAATGATAGTTGTCCAGCAGTTCTCCCATTTTATTTACAACAATTCAATGCCTACGAGATTCTGTCGAAGTTGTACCGAAGTTGTACCGAAGTTGTACCGAAGTTGTACCAAAGGTATGCCGAAGATGTGCCGATGGATGTTGTCAAGCTGGGCCGAATCTAACCAGGTGGCAGGGTAATCGCATGAAAACTCAACAATTTTTTTAAAGCATACGTTAAGGGGCTGTTCATTAACTACGTAGCCAGATTTTTTATTATTCCCCCTCCCCCCCTGCGTACATAACTAAACTCTCAACGTAGGTAATGAACACCCAGGTAACAATTTGAGACTTAACAAGTGTTGTTCAATCGATTTTAATTCAGCCATAGTTTGAATAATTGTTGTACATAGACCACGTTAACCTCTGTTCAGCTTTTCAACATCTAAATCTGGTGATTTTAATCAGCCAAAAGCTTAACAGTTATATAAATTGTAAGTTTTTTAAGGCATTAAATAACAGTCTTTTCCAACCCTTGTGCAGGTTTCTAGTTTTATTTAGAAAAAAATAATTGACGACCGCTTCCTACCTTATATATTTTTATGGGACTGCTACAAGGTGCTGACTAACTAATTGGAATAACATATTTATATTGTTATTATAAGTCTAAAAATTACCTTTGCATTCCGAGATTCAAACCAGCAGTCGCTGATTCACAGGCATCAATCATACCTACTGGACCACTTAAGCATATGTGTGGCAAAAGGTATGATCATTGACCTGAAACACGTCAAATTTAAATTGAATAACAGCAATACAGCAATGCAGAATTGTAAACAACAACTGGTAACAGTAAAACATTCCTCTCATTTGCCAGTGCAGTTAACACAATGTGCGCGATTTATTTCGATCGTCATGTGGAGGCTGTTTTAGAGTCATAATTGAGTTATATTTTTGGATATCTGTCTGAAAATTCAGTGCAATATAGCAGTCTGAATACAGAAATACAAATATTAATGCTTCCGACGTCGTCGCAGCCCACTTCTACCTGGTGTTATTCCTAAAAAGTTCCTCTACCTTGTCTCTACTGCTGCCGCTGCTTGGGATTAGAAAGGTAGGCAGTGAATATAGAAGAACTAAAATGCCAGAAATGCAACGAGTTGCACTGACTACGTTTGACAAATCAGGCTACCACAATATTTGTAGTGCATTGGTGATTTGTGGAGTAGTGTTAAGCTAAAATAAGACTAGTTCAATCTTTAGATCAGCTAACGTATTGAGCTTGAATAATAGGGATACAATTAGCTTCACGTACGAGTAATAAACTATATATTCAGCCTGCTGTTATTCAGCTTTTTACACCTTAAATCAACCAATAATCAGCTTCTGTTCTTACTGTTCAGCTTGAATTGTTACTTGGGCAGCCCTTAACCTAGTGATCTTTTCGGATCAACCACGTTCCGTTTTATTTTTAATTTAATTGTTAAATTTAAAACAAGTTCGGGATGATTGATTGGGATCTGCAAATTTGATACCCCCAAGTTCCTACCATGATCCTATCCTTCGATAATGCACCTCTCTAACCTCGAGTAAGCCGCGAGTATTCGGCCCAACTCCTACTAGACATAGAGCTAAGTGAATTTTGTTACAAACAACGAATAATAAACTATTGGCTCCGTAAAGTTAACGCGATTGAGCCTTCCAAATAAACGAACTTGTTAAAAAAAATAAAATTCACAAGTGTTTCTTATGGAATTCTTACGTTCCATCTGGTCTAATCCTCCAAAATCAAAAAAGAACCTTACCGAAAGTTCTCTCCATCGGTCTGGAAGTTCAACAAACCACTTTTAGTATGAGTTGTCTGCGTGAGCTAAAGGAGTTAAAGGACCAGCTGTAATTACACAGAGAACCAACAGATGATGCTTGGGGCTAACATACATCCTCAATGTGTAACAACCGGTGATCTCAAACTTTACAATAGGCGATACCAGCGACAACCACGTCCGAATGCAGGTTTAAAAGGAATGGGTACGAATGTGTTAACGTCATACTAGCAATGTTGGAAGCTAAACAATCCTTTGCACTTCCACGAGGAATCACTTGGATTAAAGCGTCAGGTTAACAGCAAGGTTTGTTTTGGCAAACGGTACATTGAATTGTAGTTGGGTTCAAGTTATGAAAGAAACGACCAATGAATCTAAAATGTGCAGAGGTCTGAGATTTTCTGCTCAGTGAGTAAAAACCGTCGCTCTAGGTCACCGAGCCCCTCATATCACATCTCACAACTAATGATCGAGTTGTTGTTGTAGCCATTCAAACTCAGCACCGATGATCACGATGACCAGTTTCAAAGCACACATATGATGGGCCTGGGTTTTATCCAACTATGTTCTTCTCAGTAAAAAAAAACGGCTGAAACACACTTAGATTTTTTGACGAGATTAGCACCACCGAGTAGCTCGACATTTATTTTTTTTACTGAGATCTCAGTAAAATTTATGTCAGTTTTTCTCTTTGGATTTGTTTTCTACTATTCGGGCTTAGATCCGGTTAAAATGTTTCTATTCGGCCCAGCATACGATAGTTTCAGATAGTGTGGAATTCGTGCAATAGTGGAATATGATGATGATGAATAGTGACTCAACTAGTTCCCAAGGATATACTAAGTCTACGTCGCTGGAGTTTGCCAATTACATGCAGTTTTGGAACCGGTATCAGAATACTCATCGACCCACGACATATCGATGACATTAGGAAGAAGAGAGTCGAAGCGCAAATCCTGCCTAGGGAGGACTATTCGATACTTCCAGGCAAGCTTATGGTCATATCCAGCCGGTGGACCGTGAGTGGTCAAACTAGTTTTTACATTGAAGTTTAATTGGGAAAAATAGGGTATCCCTAGCTTTACGTGTAAATTTTGTAAGGTATGAGGGGATGATTGAAAGAGTCTGAAAGTTGCTAGCAGAAGATTGGAAAAACATTAAGTAAGAGCAGAGGAAATTTATAAGGAAAGTGATAGCGAAATTTCGGATGAGGTAAGTCTACATCAAATGGTAAGTTCGTTGGTTCATTTAAAGAATTCGTGTTTAAGTACATATGATAATACATAAATACCCTTTTTTTTTTGTCAACCCCTTCTTGATAATATTTTCAAAAATAAAACAGAAAACAAGACCTTAAAGCACCCTAGCAAATCAATAAAAAAAATTATCTCATCAAAAAAATAGAGTTAAAATGACAATTCCTATTCCCTAAAGTAATTAAAATTCGAATGCAGAGGGGTTGATGAAATTGGAACATTACTGTAAATCAAACATTTTAAAACATTATATTATATATTGGGTTGAAGAGAGACAGCCTCAGGGAGGATTTGTTGATTGGACGAGGGTTCGTGGATTTGCCAGTTCCTTGTCACGTGATTACAGATGGCTATCTGGTCATTTTGTCTTCAAAAGGTCTTCAATGAAGCTGATTCACCCTGCTGCAACAAACCATCAGGCAGAATTTTACAACCGGTAAAGTATCTACAGACATTGTTAATCCTTGTACTGATGGTGGGTTCCATGCACATCACATCAGATCTTAGTAAAATTTATGTTTAATTTATGTACCCATTCGTTTTTCACTGAGATCTAGCAAAGTAAAAGTATGTAAGGCAGTCAACACACAGCTTATGATCGAGTTGATACTATAAGCATTCAAACCTGACGACGGTCACTGCCTCATAAAACACGAGAGGCCACACAAGCTTTTTCAAGCCAAATTTCCAATGAAATTTTGTTTTCCTAAGCGAATAAAATGGGAAATTTTTAAAAGATTGAACTAGTTCTGAAAAAAACCTAAATGTAGTTTAACACTTCAAAAAACAGCTCTATTACTAGCTTTAAGAAAGTGTAATAAATTACATCGGCAAACTTCAGTACCTTTTAGAAAACAACATTATCTTTCCGTCGTTTCCAATTTTGATTATCGACAAATGTCTCGACAAAAAGCACGCACTATTAGCATAAATAACCAAACAGCATTGCCATTTACCAGACAGTATATTCCCTCGGAAAACAAAAAGTCGCAACATCTCCAAACCCATCGCCACACGCACCCGCAGCGTCATCCGTCAAAAGGCCACGGTCAGTCTACTACCAGCGCCACCGCCGCCGCCCTGGGTCGTCAAGATAGCTTTTAAGTGGGCGACAAGAAGGTCAACTCATCTTCCTCGCCAGCTGTAGCAGAGTTCCAAAAATAAGTACGCACACGCCCTGCCTCTCCCGACGCCGTGTGACCATAACTCATTTGAATGTCAAGTATTATGGGTAGCAAAGCGGTCGTGTTTTACGAATGAGAGATGCTCTACAAGATGCATAACGTTTTTGAGCCATCGTCCTGATGCAATAGCTATGCGAAACATGAGCCGCGGCTTAGGCAGTGTGAGGTGAAAAGCGTGGGAGCTGTGTTTCGTGGTGGATTGGCACACGCGAGACACAATCAGCTATTGTTTCAGGCTACATTTTGCGCACATTTGAATAGCTATTTGTGCGCGCAAGTTTTACAAAATATTGTTTGATTTGCTCATTAGCATGGAGCCGCCTCTGTTTTCGAAATGCTTGTTTCCCCGATCTGCCCTGCTTTGAGGCTTTGCTAAGCTCACTCCGTGAAGAAATATGCTACACACGTCGTCGTCGACGACGTCGTTGAAGAGGAAGAACATGAGCGCCGCGCTAGTATTTTGGATCTAAACGAGCAGCATATGCTGATGAAGATTGTAGATGATAATTGATACATGCTCCGTTCGCGAGTATAATGGAGTAACATGTATATACTTATTCTGTCAGATGTTGCTCGTCGTCGTCGTTGTCTATTGATCTGCTCTGCTGAGGGTAGATGAGTTTCCTAATCAAATACCGAGCGCGACTGCGACAACAGCAACGAACGGGCGCGCGCGAAAAGAGAAATCGAACACCCTCCCTGAAGGTCTAATGAATACCTCGCGGATTTCGATTTCGTCAAACCCAGGCGGGCTCCGTCGGTAGACAATGATCTTCCTACTTCTGACCCAATTTCCAAGATTACATTCTTTTGTCTGTTGACTCTGCTCTCGTCATCGGCGGTTCGTCGTCGTTGTGTTAAAGTCCTACAATATCGAGTGAGCTTTTCAAGCAGCTGCGGGTTTATAGGTAGTAATTGGTGTTTGACTGTGAGCTTTTGGCGTGCAACACTCTCGCGGATCGAGTGGAGCAGTCTAATGAGCATACTTCACGCCGAGCAAATAATCAATCAATGGATTATTGGATTTCGGAGCCGGCAGGATGAAAGACGGCCGCTGTGCGCTCTCGAGAGGTGCTAGACGGAGTGTCAGGCCACATTTGCATAATTGGGTGGCACACACCTACCTGAGGAAAACGACGATATGGAGTGTTATTGAAATCGATTTGGTACACCACTAGAGAGTGAATGAATTCCAAGAAACACCCATGAGCTGGTTTAATAAGTGGTAAATCATGGGGAAAATTGGATCCGAAATGAACCGCATAATTCACTATCACTGATTCGATTCGTGGGAACCCAACGACCCAATCAAATCAAATATTTCACACCCAACTGTCAACAAGCTCGGAGATATTAGTCTAAATGAGCTGTTGAAACATCAGCCGATAAAATTAATCCCCACGCACGGGCAGCAGAAAATCGACCCATCGACAGCGGGGGTCGTTCAATTCCCAGCCGGCGTCATCCTCTTCCAATAACTCATAATCCACTTTGAAAGTAAGAGAAACGAAAAGCAGAGGCGACCGGGCCGTTTTGGAACTGAATTCAGCAATAACATTATAAACCCGAGGTGAGAATGTGGAACGAAGAAGATCCAGCCAGCCGACAACGAGGGGAGGTGATAATTACTCGGACGTTTAAGCTTCACTTTTGCTTCCTCCGCGTTTATATCTGTTTTGTGATAGTGCTCTCGCATCAGAGTGCAATCAAAACACCGCCGACTAGCGGGAGGGGGGTTCCAAGCCGGAGGAGGGGGGAACTCTTTTATGAACGTGTCATTTCCGCTCCCGGGAGCAAGAGGGCAGTATAAATAATAAACTCTCTTATTATTAACCTTTCGCATATGGCCTGGCCGCTAGCCCGGGCACTTCATTAACGCACTTCTGCTGACTGGGTCGGGGAGAAGCGTTTTTCGCTCGCGCGGGAGCGGAAAACGGTTTTATTAGCAGCAACTTCTGAGCTACCGAATTAATGTATTAATTTATGATTAATTGTTAACTCTATGCAAATAAACAAGCGACTTCTTCAGGGACCTGAGCGAGCGGGGTTCGTCGCTTTGGGAATGTTCGGTTCAGCTTTGGGCGATGTTTTGAGCTACCAGCAGGCTGGCTATAAGGTGTCAAATTACACAACTACCGGCCGTCCGATGACGGTGCTTGGCTTGACCGAGCGTGGGAATGGTTTTGAAGCGAGGAAAGTGAATCATCTTCTTGTGGTGTTTGGGCTCGAGGGTGGGGGAGGGGGGGGTCTTCTTCGTGGTCAAGGTTGAATTGTGGGTAGGTTGGCTGTTACAATGTTACAATGTTCGACATTGTAAGTTGATATAATGATGTAATAGACCGAAGAAAAATTTGCAATCTTCGCCTCACGATGCTCAAGCGGTTTCAAATCGGGTCCGGATTAGCCTTCCAAAATTTAAACTCTTTTTTTTTCCTTAATTTGTCTTCCGTCGATCTTGTTTTCCGTACTGAGTACCAATGCTACCGATGCCAGGGAAGCAGCTTCCACACCTGGACCCTACCCATCGACCCATCAACTCATGAACCGGGGATCAACGGCTTTACTTCCCTTTCGAAGGAAGGCGTCATCAGAGATGTTATGCCTCAGAGAATCCCGCCGACTAGAATTAAACCCAGGCCTTTTGTGGTGAGATGCAATCACCAAAATTAAAACTCATTTGACTTGGCACAAACCATGTAAAGTTTATTTGGAAATCACCATGGGAAAACCAAACTTCTTGTTATTGGCTTCTAGCCTTTTGCCTTATTTCTCTGTTAAAAAGTTCTATTATTATTCTGATGGGGAATTTTCTCACCTACATTTTTACAGAAGATCGATTTTCAGTCCAACGTCATTTTAAATAGTTATTTATTGTTTAAGAGATTTATAATCTTATGGCATGATCAAGCAGCTATTTTGTGGGCAATACTGTATTCTGCAGTGTGACATAGTAGCCATGATTGTTGTGCTCTATTCTACGCTCCAGAAACACCAATGTTGCCTGCTGAACAGTTGATTGAGCATATTCGTAAGCAGCGAATCCAAACACATAAAGCATCCAACGATACATACAAAACGGTTGCTACGACTGCCATGACAAACTCGCTCTGTAACATAGCTCGATCGGAGTGGTAGAAGGATAATGATATATTGCTTGCCTGCTTATGGCTTGATCTGAGTCGAGAAAAGACAGAGATAACAAAAAATTCCCATCAACACACATGTATCATCTTCGGCTTTACTTTGTGAAACAGCTTGCCAACAATTGGCTCGTTTCCTTCCACCGCCCCGAGTGGGCTGTGTCGCACGGGCTGCTCGTCATGAAAAAAGGAAGAAGATTATATCATTATTGCTTTCCACTTCTAACATAGCGTTATCACGCGGTTCGTTGATCGCTTGTCATTTTGTCATTTGGAGATATTCTTGATTCCTTGGTCATAAGACATCAGTGACTTGAATCATGAATATCTTTTGCTCCTTACACTTGATCGAAATGTGGTCTTGAACAAAGTTGTAGCTGAAAAAATTTCCTACAGGCATAAATATGATTTTTAAAAGTATAGTAAAATGATGCATTGTTAGCTGGACGTGAACAAATAATTTCCTTTTCCCATAGTGATTTCCATATAGACTTCAAATGGCTTGTGCCTAGTCAGTTTCTTACTAAATGAGTTCAAATTTTTGAAGGCTAGTCAGAATCCAGTTTGGAACCGGTTGAGAACTGTGGAGCAAAAATTTTAACTTTTACATCAGTCTATTATATATACATCGATGAATAAATAAAAAACAAGGTCTCTTAGAGTGACTAAAGGATAAAACATTTCATATAAAGGCATTCAACATATTTTTAATATTGAGAACGTTCAGTATATAAAGTTTATTAGATAATATTTCATTATCCGGTAGAGACTACCGCAAGCAACATCCCAAGTTACCAAAAGTTCCGCATTCAACACTTTCAAGTTCCATAAAGTTTAAATAAAGTTCCGACAGAACTTTCAAGCCACATGAAGCAATCCGCGCAAATCTTTTTTTGTAACAAAATTTAATGTACGTAAATATGAAATATTCAGTGGCCCGAATAAATCATAATTCTTATATGCATGCAACATTCTATCCAAAAATAAAAAATAAATCAAAAGTAATTTCCTGGATTCGAATCCACGTATTCGGCATGTGATCTACGATTGCTAACCACTGCGCCACGCAAACATCAATTTAAATTCATCAAGGTGTTGTGTTTCGTATTCAAGTCAGTCAGCTGGCTCAGAAAACTCCAACAATAGGCGGGACAACAGCTCACTTTAATATATTTAGATGGCGTAGTGGTTCGTTCTGAGATTCTCACGCAGAAGGACTGGATTTGATTCTTCCCACAGCTCCATTACTACTACTACTAATGCTGATAAATCAACACACATTAATACCTGCCTTTCGAAATAACTTTCATAAAAGTGCGAACTTAAATATAGAATTGATGTAGAGGACAAAAACCTTTTTTAATTTACTTTCTAAAAGTTCCGTTCATGTTCCGCCAGAGGCTGCTTAGAATGCTCTTCAATTATGGTACCGGAACTTTCAAGTTCTTATAACGACTTAAAAATGAGGCTGCTTAGAATTCTATAGACCACCTTCAACCAAGGTGCTTAAGCCATAAATAGCCTTTTATCAGAGCTTTTGATTACTTGGGATGTTCAGTTTCATAACGGTCTTTAAGTCCATTCTAAACCATATAAATCTCTTCAAGACCATGATAAAACTAATATTCTGGATCGTATTATGTATCGATATATCGATATTCGTATAGCCGAATGCCATTTGGCCGAATACTGTTAAGTTTCGAGATAACTTCTCATGTCAAGTTGTGCTAGTCGTGCCAAAAGTAATTGTTGTTTCCTTATTATAGGCGCCAAGGCCCCTCATAATTTTTAATAGAGACAGTGTATAATTTTGCCTACCTCCCGGATAATTGTCATTAGTTTTTTTCAAAATTTTGCCATGAAGGCTGAGAACACGTTCTTCACAACAACAACAAAACATTACTCAGCCTGCCTGTGGAAGCTGCTGGCCCAGTGTTAAATTTCAATCAAACTGTCAATCCAAATTCACGGTTTGAACATTTTGCATTCTTATCATATTTTGTAAACCTATTTTAAGTCTAATTTAATTTATCATAGGTTTAAAATTTGGATGATTTCTCGAAGTGGCAGAAATTTTAAATATTTTGATCTAGATCTATAATTCATGATCTTAAAAATTTATCCAAGACAAAGATTTTGAAAATTTAACGGAGTTCCTGATCTAAAACTGGATGTTTTGAGAAGCTTGACAAATAAAATCTATGTCGAGAATCTTTCAATTTTTTTTTTTTGAGCAGGGAATTTTTAAACAGCTTAATTAGTTTTTTTTTTTATATTCTAAATGCTTCAAGTTTAGTTGAGTCTGAAATCATTACTTTTTTTTCATCTGGGTCAATTGTTTCAAAAATTTACCTCTTAAATTTGTAAGTATAAAATCCATCTACAAACCATGAATACCATAAAATACAATCAATTCTTTCAATACTTATCAAAATAATTTTTAATATCCTTTCATTTGATATTTTGATCTTTGAAATCGGTTCAGTGGTTCAAAAGTTATAAATTTTTGATAATATTTATTTAAAAAAAACGATTTCTTTTGGATCACCCTAACATGGAAATGGTCACCCTAAAGACACAATAAAACAGTACTGGTCTAATATTAAGGAACAAAACTAATTTTTCTGCGAAATTCTGAGAACCACTAATTCTTTTTTCAAATTTGTGCTAGCGCTTTTTGGGGAATTTTCCATGGAATTCTAAGTAGATAGGATCCTAAAATAGGGGTCTAGTGATTTCAGAAATAGAATTAAGCGTTGGATTGATTTTCTAGAAAGTGAAGAAGACAAAATATATGTGTTGCCAAAAACGGGAAGGCACTGTATTTCGTTTTGGTATGGAATGTCTGCATACATATCGCCCACGTAAGAAGATTTTAAAAGTTTTTCTGAGCCATGGCCAAAATTGGAAACTGTGACCAAAACTGGTGCACTTACCCTATTTGTTTGTGCTCCTCCAATAATGCCATCAAGTTGGCGTATCTGATGCTTATTCTCATAAAATTCCCGTAGCCATTCACAGTATCCAACATTAATAGAGTCATGAGAGTGAGTTAATGTCAGAGTTCGTGTTATCTACGAATAGATTTGTTTTATATTAGAAAATAATATCAAAAATCTGTTTAAAAAAAAAACTAGGTTTTTACTTTATTTTACTTAAATGTACGTTTAAGCATATATCGCTCTTGGGTCATTCGTGACTTGTCCGGCGGTGAGATTTAGACTCGTGATTTTGGCGTGAGAGGTATGGATTCTAACCACTACGCCGGGGTCGCCCCCATTTGTTAAAGTTGTTGTTAGAGTTTGCGTTAGAGTTTGCGTTAGAGTTCATGTTGGAGTTCATGTTAGAGCTCGACTTAAAGCTCGTGCTCGAGTTTGAGTTAGAGTTCGTGTTAGAATTTGTGATAGAGCTCGTGATAGAGCTACAGTTTGTGTTAGAGTTCGTGGAAAAGCTAGAGTTGGTGTTGGAGTTTGTTTAGAGTTTGCATTAGAGTTCGTGTAAGAGCTCGTGTTAGAGTTAGGGTTCTAGTCCAAACTGGAGATCGTGTTAAAGTTCATGTTACAGTTCGTGTTAGAAAACGTATAAACTCTAGAGTTGGTGCTAGAGTTCGTGTTATAGTTTGCGTTAGAGGTCGTGTTAGAGTTAGAGCTCGAGTTCGAGTTCAAATTCGTATTAGAATTCGAGTTAGAGTATTCGAGCTCAAATTCGAGTTCGTGTGATTTAGTTCGATATTGTGATATTGTGTTAGATTTTGTGGAAGAGCTCGTGTTGGAGCTAGAGTTTATGTTAGATAGAGTTAGAGTTGTTAGAGTTAGAGTTTTTAGAGTTAGAGTTGTTGGAGTTAGAGTTGTGAAAATTCAAGTTAGAGATCGAATTTGACTTCAAGTTTGATTTCAAGCTCGTGTTAAAGTTCATGTTAGAGTTCGTGCTATAGTTCTTGTTCAAGTTTGTGTTAGAGTTCATGTTAGAATTCGAGGTAGAATTCGTGCTAGATTTTTTTTTTTCTTTATTTTTGTGATTTTCAGCCGTAGGCTAGCTCATCACATTTGATAGTGGAAGGTCAGGCTTAGGGCCTGCCTCCAAGGAAACGTTTCAGTCTAATATTAACGTAACGTAAAACTGGCTCTGAGACAACATTAAAAAAAAAAACTTAATGTAAAATGGGAGTTACATCGAGACTGTGGTGAGGATTGGATGCGCCAACAAGGTAGAGCTCCGTAAGATACAGTGCCCCAGTCCAGCAGAGATACCCCGATGGCAGGGAAATAGGAAGGTGGAAGAACACGGACAGCGCAGCCAACGACGAGAGTGCTAGATTTGGTTGTACAGGTGGGCGTCCTTCAAGAAAGCAATAAGCGCAGCCAGCGTCGAGGGGTCGTTGCCAAGTAGCTCCCTGATGTTCTCTGGGAGTCGGTGTTGTTCGCGTAGCCTCTGAAACTCTGGGCAGACACACAGCACGTGTTCCACCGAGGCAGGGATGCTGCAGATTGGACAAACCTTGTGGAAGGGTGTCCCACCAAAATTGTGGGAAATCCTCGCATGGCCGGTCCGGAGTCTTGAAATGATCCGTTGGTCCTTGTACTTGTGGCTGTTTAGCCAGGGTCGTACGGTTTCTTTGATCTTTCTCTTTCCGCGAGTGAAACCATTCCTCCTGCCAGGCTTCCATGATAATATTCGGGATCCAACGCTTGACGTCTAGTAGTGGTACGTTCCTGGTGAAGCGGGGACCAGATGGACTGGATCCCGCCAGCCTGTCCGCAGCCTCATTTCCAGGAACACTGCAGTGCCCGGGAATCCACGTAAAAACGGTTGAGGGTGGGGCATATCGTGTAATGGCTTGTATCCAGGGGTGGCTCGGGGCTTCGGCTTCCAGCGCCTGGATGACGCTGTGTGAGTCCGTTAGCACAAGGATCGGTTGATCTGCAGGAGTGATGGCTGCATCAAGAATAGCAGCGGCTTCTGCGGAAAAAACGGAACACTCCTCCGGTAGACTTTGACTTGTTGCGGAGTTTGGTCCTGCCACTCCAGCCCGTGATCGCGATCCGTCCGTAAAGCGATGAACGTGCCCTGGATAGACCGACCCAAGAAGTTCTGCAACTGAACGCCTCAACGCTACAGAGTTATCTCCGGCTTGGAATCCTCTCTTAATCCGCTTATCTATTTTGATAACGTTAGATCGCCAACTTTTCTCTCCATGCCAGTGGACCCTGGCCACCGGGGGGAGGTCAAGGTTGGCTGTAGTGCGGAGGGCTCTGTTCCCCTTGTTGAGGAGAAAGACCCTATCCTTCCCGGATGTCTTAGCAGCGAGGGCAGCGGCTTTCGTAGCAGTAGCTGCAGCAGATCGATAGCGGAAAGGGAGGACTCCGATTTCCGCACAAGCAGCGTTTGCAGGCGTGGAAGGTAGAAGGCCGGATACGATGCATACGTAGGTATTGTATATAGGAGCGAGGATGCGGTTCAGCTTCTCGGTGGCTAAGCAGGTAATTTCAATGCCGTAGAAAAGTCGACTGTCGATAACAGCCCGGGCGACACGAAGGCGGATCTCGCGGTTACTGGAGCGGTGCGGGCGCGAGATTGTCCTGACGATATTGATGCGGCTACGACAGTTTTCTTTCACCAATCTGAAGTGCTGGTCGAAACTTAGAGACCGATCCAGAACTACCCCCAGAACACGTACTGTTTTCTTAAGCGGAATTGGATGGTCCTGGATGGTGATCGGTAGTCCCCGAATCAGATTGCCCGAGTGGCAGATATGGCACTGTACACTCTTTGGAGCGGAGAGTTGGAAACCAACAGAAAGCGCCCACCTGCAGACGGCGGAGACAGCTGCTTGGGCAATATTCCTGGTCCGTTTAGTCGTTCGTCCCGCATTCGTCGCATAGACGATTCGTGCTAGAGCTCGTGTTAGAGCTACAGATTGTGTTAGAGTTCGTGTAAAAGCTAGAGTTGGTGTTAGAGTTTGCATTGGAGTTCGTGTAAGAGCTCGTGTTAGAGTTAGAGTTCTAGTTCAAATTGGAGATCGTGTTAAAGTTCACTGTTAGAAAACGTATAAACGCTAGAGATGGCGTTAGAGGTCGTGTTAGAGCTAGAGATCGTGTAAGAGTTTGTGTTAAAGTTCGTTTTAGAGCTATAGTTGGTGTTAGAGTTCGTGTTAAAGTTAAAGCTCGAGTTCGAGTTCAAATTCGTGTTAGAATTCGAGTTAGAGTATTCGAGCTCAAATTCGAGTTCGTGTTAAAGTTCATGATTTAGTTCGATATTGTGATATTGTGTTAGATTTTGTGGAAGAGCTCGTGTTAGAGCTAGAGTTTATGTTAGATAGAGTTAGAGTTGTTAGAAATAGAGTTTTTAGAGCAAGAGTTGTCAAGTTAGACATCTAATTTGAATTCAAGTTCGATTTCGAGCTCAAATTCAAGTTTGACTTCAAGTTCGTGATAAAGTTCATGTTAGAGTTCGTTCTATACTTTTTGTTCGAGTTTGTGTTAGAGTTCGTGTTAGAATTTTAGGTAGAATTCGGGTTTTCAATGTGTTAGTGTTTGTGTTTGGACTAGAGTTGGTGTTGGAGTTAGTGTATGAGCACGGTTAGAGCTAGAGTTTATGTTATAGTTAGAGTTCGAGCTCAAATCCGTGTTAGAGTTTGAGTTCGAATTCGAGTTCAAATTCGAGTTCAGATTCGAGATCGTGTTAAAGTTCGTGTTAGAAACCGTGTAAAAGATAGAGTTGGTGTTAAAGTAAGAGTTCATGTTAGAATTCGTGTTCAAAATCGTGTTAGAATTTGAGTTAGAGCTCGAGTTCGAGTTCAAATTCGTGTTAGAATTTGAGTTCAAATTCGAGTTCGTGTTAAAGTTCATGATTTAGTTCGTGTTAGCCATTATGTAAGAGTTTGCGGATGAGCTCGTGTTTGAGCTAGAGTTAAATATGTTATAGTTAGAGTTGTTAGAGTTGGAATTGTTAGAGTTAGAATTAGAGATCTAATTTGAATTCAGGTCCGATTTTGAGTTCGAGTTCGAATTCGAGTTTGAATTCAAGTTCGTGTTAAAGTTCATGTTAGAGTTCATGCTATAGTTCTTGTTCGAGTTTGTGGTAGAGTTCGTGTTTGAATTCGAGGTAGAATTCGTGTCAGAATTCGGGTTTGCAATGCATTAGTGTTTGTTTTTAGGCTAGAGTCGGCGGTGGGGCTCGTGTATGAGCACGTGTTAGAGCTAGAGTTTATGCGTTATAGTTAGAGGTCGAGTTTAAATTCGTGTAAAAGTTTGAGCGAATTCAAGTTCAAATTCGAGATCGTGTTGAAGTCCATGTTAGAGTTAGAGTACAAATTCGTGTTAGAGTTTGAGTTCGAATTCGAGTTCAAATTCGAGATTGTGATAAAGTTCACGTTAGAGTTCGTGATAGAAACCGTGTAAAAGATAGAGTTGGTGTTAGAGTAAGAGCTCATGTTAGAGTTCGTGTTCAAATTCGTGTTAGAATTTGAGTTATAGTAAGTGTTCAAATTTGACTTCAAATTCGAGATCGTGGTAAAGATCATGTTAAAGTTCGTGTTTGAGTTCGTATTCAAGTTTGAATTAGAGTTCGTGTTAGTGTTCGTGATTGGGCTAGAGTTAGTGTTAGACCATTTCTGAATCAAGTTTTTTGGTTGTCTTTATTATAGAGATTTTTAGCCATATGGCTAGTACATCTATTAATCAAGTGCAATTTAAATTCATAATGTATAAATCCGCACTATTGGACAACGATCATGTTTGGATTTGGTGAGTTTGTCTATATCTCGAAAACTATCCTACTGAGATTTTGTTGGACTACATTTTTGGATTCAGCGCATGATTTTATATGGAAAATGACTATCAGCGTACCAAGTTCAATTATGCTGTAAACTAGTGTTATTTAAGTTTATCTTAAGCTTCTTGATGATGAGATATTTTTAGATTATCTTTTTTCCAGCCTTCGATCAGTCTGGGTTTTAAGATTTTTTTTTTCAGCCTTCGTGCAGGCTAGATCTATTGAATTAAATCATTTAAGTTTATTTTCAGCTCTTCCATGATGGAACAACTTCAGAGTCCCTTTTTTCCCAACCTTCGTTCAGGTTGGATTTATTGCATAAAATGTTCACCCTTTCGATGCTGGAAAATATTTAGATTATATTATACACCCATGTTTTCGTTTTCGTTTGAGCCGTGTTTTCCATACGTCAAAAGTATAATTGCGTTTATCTCCTTAATTAAGGCCTAAATCGCGATTTGAGGGGTGTTTGGGTGTACATAATCTTTAATCACGCTTATCTCCTTAATCAAGGCCTAAATCATGATTTTTTACATCGAATCGATGCAGGGTGGAAGTTTTGCGCGTGATTTTTCGAAATCTTATTGCAGTATTTTTTATATTTAAATAATGGCACTATAAAGTTTTAAGCATTTTTTTTTATATGTATATCTAAATTTTACGCAGTGAACTTGAATCAGTGACTAATTTTAAGCTTATGAAACCTGGAAGGTGACTGATTCGGATGAATCGGATGAGATCCCTTCCAGTTATTTGTTTAAATTTAATTCAAACTTTACCAAATAACGTCTCAAAAAATTAATTGAGAAGCTCGGCTAGACTGATGGCTACCAGTTTTACTTTCTGAATAGAAAATCGTCTGTTTAAGACGTGATGATCGGAAATACATATCAAATCCTTCTCAAGAGCAGTTGTTGTCGTCATCTGTGAGGTCGCCGCCGTGACCGAAATCTGGTAGCAGCAAGTTGAACGGGAGCTCGGTGGCCTAGTGGCAACCAATGTTTCCTATTGAGTAGAAAATAATAGCTTCAATCTCAAGCTCCTTCAAATTGTAGAGTGTTAGTGTGAATCGGATTTATTCTTAATATAACAAATTCGGTTGGAGGAACAAGGAAATCCTTCTCCAGAGTAGTTTTTATCGTAGTAACAGCAAGTTGAACAGGAACTTTATCGAAATTTTGTTGTGAAATAAGGAGCTCGGTGGCCTTTTGATGACCGATTTTGCTTACTGAGCAGAAACTCATGAATGCAATCCCAAGCTCTGCTCTGCTTTCTTTCATAATATAATGGGTACGTAAAAAAAGTAATATTTTAGTTTTAGGAAAGACGTGTTGATCGAAAATCCATATCAAAACCTTCTCAAGACCAGTTGGTGTCGTCGTTGGTGAGGTCACCGCCGGGATTGAAACCTAGTAACAACAGTTGAACGGAAACTTGATCGAAATTGTCGTAAGGTGCTGGGTGGCCTAATGGCGACCAATTTTGCTTACTGAGCAGGAGTTCGTGGGCTCAATCCTTCGCTCCCTCGTGCTATTGAATCGTTAGGATATCAATTCAGCATATCGTTTCCGGAAACGAATCCTGCTGCAATTCCAACCCTTTTATCCGACATCCCAGTGATTTTTCGGGGAAGTGCAAAGGTGTCCAGGCTTTCAATATACCGAGTATGACGTCATCATTTTCCTACCCATTTCTTACTTGACTAGCATTCGGACGGGGCCGGCGATGGTATTGCCTAATTTTAGATCACCAGTATTTACACATTGAGTATGTTTGCTAGTCCCAAGCATCGTCTATTGGCTTTTGTATAATTACAGCTGATCTGGTAATGACGGAGTTGCATCCACGGGCTGTCGATCATGCTCATGTTAGAGTTGATGTTAGAGTTCAAATTCATGTTAGAGTTCGAGCTAAAATAAGAATTCAAGCAAAAACAGACCTTAAACGTATCAATAAAAATTAGAAATACCCGCAATTGTTGTTGCGCAATGGTCATATGGAGTACCCAGAATCGCATCCGGGCATGTTAGGAGTATGGCAGTGTGAAAATTGTATATAGAGAGTAGAAAGCGAGCAAAGGTCAATTTTGAGGAAAGCAAGAATCGAGTTAATCATCTCCTTTCCTGTTGGGGAGGGATGATGAACGGTATCTCCCCACGCCATCACATTTAGAAAAAAAACTACTCCAAAATGAGAACAGTAAGAGGCAGAAAAACATTTAAGCCATAAAGTGTCTTCAGAAGATTTGTCAGCATGAACATTATTCACAATCTGAACGTAACCAAAATTAGTCATGTTTACTTTGATAAAAATAGAGGAATCATGTCTTCAAGCAAAGTTATAGAATGTGTCAAAAGAAGCAACTTTTAAGATAGAAAAAATGTTTTTAGCAAAGTAGCTCATGTCAGTTACAACTTTGCGGAAAACCATGCCTTTTTTTCATAATAAAAAAAGTTTTTATTGAATAATTCGAGGACCACTCTTACTTAAAAATGTCCAAAAGAAAGAATTTTAAAGCTGAAAAAATACACCTCTAAAATCTAATATAAATACATTTAGATTTTCGTCTTGCTAAATTCCCATCCTGGACCACTGTGCAGTGCTAAAGCAGATACTGCTTCGTTTAGCCTTTTTGCTTATATAATTTTTAGAAACTAGGTGAAATGTAACAAAACGATCTGCACTAGATTTACGACAAATAAATAAATTTAAATAGATTGGAATCATAAACTCTTCCCAAAAACACCCTGAAACAATAAGTCACGTCATCTCCGACCGAATCCAAATGCCACCCAAATAAATGTCAACACTTTCACCCAAATTTGGACCATCCACATATGACACAACTTCCCGTCCCATCATATTTGAAGCCAACATGAACCTTTTGCCTTCCATGTGGAACGGAAGACGAATCGACACACAATCACCTGTTCTCTCTGCCTAAACGGTTCAACATAAAAGCTTAATGTTCAAACAATTCCCCAGCTTGATGCTGGCTTTTCTTGCAATCCCCCTATAGCTTGTTAAACGCTTCCATCAAACAAACACGCAGCAGCAGCAGCAGCAGCAGCAGTAGAAGAGTAGGAAGCGGGTAAGATGGGCAGCTCTCTTCGAAGGAAAAGAAAACAACACCTCTGTGTAAGCAAGGCGTAAAAATGTGCTAAACTTGTAGTAATCTTCATAATTACGGTGGGAAATTTTTCGCCTGCCACTGCTGACTGCAAACACCAGGGAACGGTCGGACTGTCGGCCGATCGGTGGCGCTATGTGAAAAATGGCTTTTGAGAAACAGGTGGGAGAAAGAAAAACTGTCGGTTGGAAGCCAGAAGCTGTGAGAAGTGGAAGAGCGGAAATTGACAGAGTGTGCACAAAGTTGATATTGGCTCGCTCTCTAGTTTGTTGTTGTCTTGACTCGACACTGATGGCGGCTGAGATGAAAAACGTGTCATGAATGGGTCGTTCCATCAAACAGCGGGTGTCATGGGGATTGGAAAATACTTAGCGTCAAATCGGTAATCGGTAGCACTACTGCCGTGATTGGTTTGAGTGAGAAAGTTGTTGGCAGCGATCAATAGGTTCGCTACTTTTGAAGTCATTTCCCAGCTCGGGAAGAACTTTACACCATTACAAAGTCGTCGGTTGAACGAAACTCTGGGAACTGACTCCGATGCCTCTCGCTTATCTTTCGTCAGACGAATATCAATCAGATTGATTCCCCTGAAATGAAGCCAACAATCTTCCTGGTATCCAACCAACCAGACAAAAAACAAGAACACCATCTGATTTTCAAATCTCGTCCATTCTCATCACCAAACCAGATCTTACCTGCCGATGATGTTTCATGTTTCCATTCTCTTCCCCTGTTGTTGATTGATGCTGCTGCTGCTGCTGCTGCAACCACTTCACCTCGTCCATCTGAGACAAACAAAAAAGCCTTGATATTAATTAATCACTCTTTCAAATCATATTATAATCCATTCACACCAACACAAACAAAAAACCTGAAACCGCAAAGCACTAACCCCCTGCTCTACCCTTGGACTTGTCATTCCAGATATCATCATCGTTGCCAAAAAGAATCCGGTGCTCTGGCTGAAGCCTTGAAAAAATCAATCAACTCCTTCAACCAGCCAACAGAAGAGCAAAACAAAAAAAAATGGATCTCCTCTAATCACTTGACGAAGCCCCCACGAAGACGACAAAAGACGGTGCTGCCGTAACGAGAGACCCGCAACACTGATCTTAATTTTCTGCGGCATTGTTTCTCGGGGCAGATCTCCAATCTTACTGTTTCTTCTTCATCGCTTCACAGAGCCTCGGTCCTGTTCCAGCATCGATCCGGCCAAACCGGGAAAGGTAAGTGACAAATTCGATACTTTTAGGAAAATGTCTTGTTGGGCTATTTTTTTACGCCGCTCTAGCTGAGGATTATAGTTCGTCGTTGGCTCCACTGTCCTTAGAGGCGAGGTGTGGTGCGTGGGTTTAGCGCAGATTGTCAGATGGTCAGTCCAGTCGATCCGAGTGGGGTTCGACAATCATTATGGTCTGTTGCTTCTCTGATTTAAGGCAAAAAGTTTCGAATATGAAAATGATCTCAGCTAACGATTTCTGGAATGATCGCTTGAAAACCCTTTCAACTAATCGGTGTGTGATTTGAAAATTGGAGGGGGGGGGGCTCAAATGAAGTTTTGCGACGCTTCGGTGAACTGGATAAATGGCAGAACTCGCTTCTGGAGACATTCGGTTTTGTAAACCTTCGAGTTCATTATTTTCTCAGTGACGAAAACCTGAGAATTCCCTGCAAGATGATATATATATAACAAATTTGAACCAGGGATACCTCCTCCACCCTTCACCTTGTAAAATTTAGGTCCTGAAAGCTGTCCGAAGTCAGCCTTTACATAGGTTTTATCATCTTTAAGTATGCACCCACCGGAATTGTCGCAGCTTTCGAGTACGGGTTCTAGCTGCGGTATTCTGCTTAAATGATCGATTTGTTTGCCCACTGACGTGGTATGCTTGTAAGCCTTTGCTGCATTCTACTAAGGGCGGCATCACACTTTTTACTCAAATTGCAATCGGACATAACTATGTTGCTTCTAATGGACCTCATGACCTTTGCATGAAAATGACGGTTGACGTTTATTTTGAGCCTTCCGATTCATCATCAAGGTTTCCCTGTACGTTTTTAAGCACGCGCCATACGGTGTTTCTGGGAAAATTCAACACTTTAGCCAGCTTGGACGCGGACCACGACGGATTTTCCAGGTGACTGTGCACGTGACTGGTGACTGTCTCCAAAACAAAAGCGTTTTATGAACTGGAAAAAACGCTGTTATTTTTATTGTTACTGTCAACGAATAGACGTCAAAAGCTTCCGAAAACGTCCAGTAGGAGCGCTGTACTAAGCAAAAGAGTTTGTTTCATTACTAAGTGGACCTCCCAAGTAACCAACAAGCCCACTAATTCGCCTTTTTGCAATATAAGGCTAATATGCGGCTAATACAAAGCCTAGCATGCCCTATGTTAGCCGTGCATCAGCCTTATATTGCAAAAAGGCGAATTAGCGGGCTTGTTGGTTACTTGGGCATAGTTTACATCATCCACAGCACAAGAACCATTTCGACGGAAACCTTCGGCGATCAAAACACGAATAGATTTACACTGACTGTAATCGAAAAATTCCACACGTTGCATCAAATTTTGAAAATGTTCGAAACTGACTGCTTCTCCCAGGACATCAGAAGCAATCTGAACAAGATTTCTGGTGGCCAAAATTGTCAAATACTCTGTAGTTCAGACTGATTTCTCTGCTTAATAATATGCAATATAATGTGCAAAGTTGTCTCACAATAGGATCAAGAATGCTGCGCTCCGTCGTCAACTATTACTCAGGAAATGCTGCTAATGAGATAAGAACTCTTTTTGTAATAATTAATCTTATCAATCTTGTTTGAACCGATGAAGAGAGCTAACAAATTGAGTACGAAAACTATCCCGATTTAGCGAAAAAAAAACGAACTATAAGATGCAATTAACCCTCTACTACCATTTTTTCCGGAATATGATACATTATGGAAATTTTTAAGATCTAGATCAATTTTGCTTCTTTAGAGCAGTTAAGCTGTCTTTTTTTTTTTTGATGTTCATCTCCGCTCAAGGAACATTTTTACAACAAGAAAATTGGACCCACCTATTCAACCCATCAACTCATGGTTCGAGAACCTATCTGTAAATATTTTTGTAAAGAAATTATACACAATTATATTTAACAAAAAATTAATAACGTCAAATTGATTTAATGAAGTAAAAAATTTAATATATATCTAATGATTTAACATCATAAACTTCAAGTTGTGCCCTGGATTGATGCTGGATTGAAAAAATGGGTGTATTTTAAAATCGTAAAAATCGTGCGTCCTTTAAGAGATATCGATTTCTTAAAAGATCTTAAAGTTACTCAAAGACGACTCTCACGAGAAACATGACCAAAAGCTGTAGAGCTTAAAAGCATAATTTTTCAGATACATCCTAATGTAATGCTTAAACTTATTCTAATATAAAAATGTTATTGAATAGAGGAATTAACTAAGCTACAACTTGCTAAAGATCATGTGTATTTAATTTAAAAAATAAGAAAAATAGGTTTTGAATATCAATTAATTTAAGGACCACTCTAATGTTTACAACTACAATAAGAAAAGACTTTTGATGAAGATGATGATGATGATGATGATGAACTTGATTGTCATCAGCAAAGCGCTATATGAAAGGCCAAAAACGAATGGATGGATTGATAGGCAATTCACCTATTAATTTCCTTGGGACAGTTAAAGAATCTCCATCCAACAACTTGATCAGCCAATTGGTCAGAAAACGAGCCATCCAACAGGAAGATGTCCCAATTAATGGGGAGAAGAGCCTGCCCTTTATCCACGAAATTTTAGCAAGTTAGAGAGTTGACATCTTCACTCTCCCCATCAAAATCGCTTCAATTGGGTGCCCTGATGGTCCTTCGTCATCCCAATTGTTTTATATATAGTAATATGCAATATGATAATCAAATAATCAGAAGCATACCGTCTACAAAAAATATGCAAGTGGATTGAAATCTGCCGAAAATAAAGGAAAGCTAAGTTGATTCTTAGTGTAAAGCATTGATGCATAGGTGAAGGATAAGAGAAAAGAGAGTCAAAGGTATTGACATTAGAAATCTTCGGGATTGAAGGCGCATGTTTAAATATCATTGATCCACCTGTATAACCTGTCGTATCAAAAGAAGTGATTTTTTTACCACAAAAACTTCACCCAAGACACCAATCGTTTTAACATTAAACCTTCTAGCAAGATTCCCATCCTGGACCACTGTACATTGTGCCATGGACATTCCTTGGTAGAGTTTAAGTGCAGTGCCATGGTGATTAATCGTTGAAAGAACACTTGTTAAGCATTAAATTGTAAACTGGGACGTGTTACCTGGGTATCCTTTACTGTGGAGTGGAATTTTCAGAAAATATTCCAATGCAATTGTCGATTTTGTAAATTTCCAACGAAAAACAAATGTAGACTTATTCCAAAGAGGTTATTCGTGCCTTTATTGCGTTAAAGGTACCAACAAACAATCGCCTATTGAAGAAACGACTTGTTGGCCATTTTATTCAACTGCATGCTTAAAAGTACTTGTACTATTTTTAATAATAACTTCTGTTCACACAAATCTGGAGAATTTATTCAACCACAACATTAAACTACTGGTGTTGTATAAGGTATGTCGAGAAGCTTTTATTTGACTAATATAAGTTGTAACAGAGTTTATGCGATAAAATTTTTAATTATTCAGCGTTTATTAGACATCACTGCTTCCTTAAAACAGTGATTCTGTATACGCTTGATTCTCATGTTAAGTAACGTTTAATAAGACATTATTATACATTTATTCAACGATTATTCAACTGTGGGAAAATTAACCCAAAAATAAGAGGGACGGGGGGGGGGCAGGGAAGGGTGTGTTTCTTAAGTGTGTATTGTATTTCATTATTTTTGACGTGGCTCACACCACACAGATATTAGAAAATTAATTAAATACTTATACATGTCGTTGTATGGAATTCGAACCATGTACCTACCGATCACCAGCCGCTTGCCTTCCCTAATAAACGGGTACCATATACTGACGATATCTTAGATGGTGTGACCATATCACATAAAATTGGGATGATATCTCGAATTAGTGGTTAGGCGCATCTTATAGTTATTGTTTATGCGTGTTGTCATCTGAGCTATCCTAGAATTCATCATATGGGCAACTCAATAATCAATAAAAGCTTGCATGAAACTAAATACCTATCAGCACTCCCGATCGCAACTCTAGCTTCTTCAAGGCTCTGGGAATGATTAATTCATTCATCGTTATTTTAAATGAGACCACAGCACATAATTCGACATCCTGTCTTATTCAGCATTGTACACTGTTATACAGCATTTATTCGATGTGTATGTTTATTTGTGACTTTGAATTGTTTGTTGGGGTGATTCCCTGTAGCGTCCTTTTTCGTGTTACACTTCGCAATTTCACATGTAAAAATAATAATAATGATTTTTTTTGTTATTTTCTCGAGCCTCTGATATGGTATATACTAAATTTGTATACTAAAAGTGCTAAATGTACGTATGTTTAAAATTAACAAGAAAACGCATTTTTCAGATATTGGAAACAATTGATCAATTGTTCGAAAGCAACTTAATCAATTAAAAAAAAAATATCAATACAAATAATTTCACTTCGTTTCTAATGAAAATTCGCACTTTCTTCTTTATTCCTCCCATCAAACACTGCACCCCTCCGGAGTCAACTTCCTTGGCACATTTGTTCCACATTTTGGTCATCTGAATCGCGTCCCGAGCCGTTTTTCCACTTTTCTTAAGCTTCTGCTTCATTATTGCCCAAAATCTCTCGATGGGCCGGAACTGCGGGCAGTTGGATGGATTTATGTTTTTATCGTGGTACCACTGGATGACTTCCCGGCTGTAGTGGCAACTCGCCAAATCTGGCCAAAACTTCACGGGACCTTTATGGGCTTTAATGAAAGGTAGTACGCGGTTTTTGAGGCATTCTTTCTTGTACAGCTTCGAGTCCATCGTCTTATTCGTCACGAACACTTTGGTCTTTGCTCCGCAGCTGCATATCCTTTGCCAAATCATCAGTTTTTTGGCAAATTTGTCCATAAAAGCAAACTTAAACTTCACAGGAACATCTCTTCGTGCCGTCGCCATGTAGAATGTTTGACCAGGAAGCTGTCCAAAATCCATTTTAAAGTAGGTTTCATCGTTGATGAGCAGGCATCCTTGGTACTTCG